GGCACTGAATGTGTCTGTGTTGTGTCAATCGTCTGTGTGGTTTCAATTGGTACATGTGCTGTGGTCCTCTCATTGGTTGCTGTAGGTGTTGACGTACTTGATTCAGTTACTGCAAGGGTTAAGGTTCTTGACTCTGTTACTATAGGAGTTACTGCACGAGATGAGGTTCTTGACTTTGTTACTACAGGAGTTGTAACTTCTCTTAACTCAGTCACATCTGTAACAGCAACAGTAAATTCCTCATCAACTGTAAGAGTTTCAAATTGAGTTCCAGTTTCCTGTTTTATAGTTGTAAGACTGGCTTTGGGTGATGAATGTGGTACAGTAGTCACTGGCACTAAATGTGTCTGTGTTGTGTCAATCGTCTGTGTGGTTTCAATTGGTACATGTGCTGTAGTCCTCTCATTGGTTGCTGCTGGTGTTGACGTACTTGCTTCAGTTACTGCACGGGTTGAAGTTCTTGACTCTGTTACTATAGGAGTTACTGCACGAGTTGAAGTTCTTGACACTGTTACTACAGGACTTGTAACTTCTCTTGACTCAGTCACATCCGTAACAGCAACAGTAAATTCCTCCTCAACTGTAAGAGTTTCAAACTCAGTTTCAGTTTCCTGTTTCACAGTTGTAGATATTTTCCCAGCAGTACTGGCTTTGGTTGATGTATGTGGTACAATAGTAAATGGCACTGAACTTGTTTGTGTTGTGTCAATTGCCTGTGTGGTATCAGTTGGTACATAAGTCTTGGTCTTCGTCACTGAAGGTTTTGAAGAGCTTACTTCAGTTATTGCACGTGTTGATAACCTTGGCTCTGTTACTACAGGTGTCAATGTTGTTGCAACAGTTTGCACTGCAACTGGAGTTGTAACATATGTTGACGCAGACGCATCATCAGCAGTAATAATCTCATCTACTTCAGTGGTAACAGTTTCATAATAAGTTTCTTCTGCCACAGTGGTGATGGTAGAATATGTTCTTGGCATCGTAACTGTAGTTTGTGCATCAAGGGATTTCGTTGTAATCTCTATTGAATCAGTCACAACACTTGTTTCTGCTTTAGATGAGTAGATGAATTAAACGTATATCACATGATTCTTAGATTGGTTAAATAATTCAGTTTATAGAGATTACAAACTTTCATATGAATTTAGTCATAAGAAATAAAAATGAACTGCAATTCATTATCACCAAGTACTATTGATATTAGAGTTCCATATTTTATTAGTATACTGGTTGAGTAAAGTTTCATTTGATTCATATAAAGAATAATGATTATTGAGTTAGTGAACATAATACAAAGTAACTGTACCTTCTGGGTGGAACGTGGTAGTACTAGTTGGTTCTGTTCGTGTAGTTATTTCAGGTTGCAAAGTAGTTCTGTCCGTTCGTTCAGTTACTATAGGTTCCGTTACGCCGATTGTTCGACTCGTCAACAATGTTGATTTTGCTGGCTTTGAAGTTGTAATTTCAATGGTTTCAGTCACTTGAATTTCCTTTGTGACGGTTTCTATATCAGTGATCTCTGTTTCATGAAATGTTGTGTATTTAGACGTTGGTTCATATGTACGCCCAAATGTTGTAGTTTCCATTATGGTACTTGGTACTCGAGTACTGGATGATTGCACAGCAGCGGTTGTAGTTGTTGTTACTGATTCAGCCAGAGTCGTTTGTTCAGGCTCTATAACGGTGAATTGTATTCACAATGTTTGATTTGTTACGTATGGGAATAAAGCATTATTGTGAATACTAAAACTATTGACAGTTATTTGTTTTACTCCTATACATGTACTGTTAATAATAATATCAATTATATTCGTGACACTATATTAGATAGATAATTATATCAGAGGTAGTGCAACTGAATTATTGGGTTTTTAAGGATGCGTAATAATGGTGTTAATATGTGTAACTCCATGATGGTGCAACCTGACCGATTAAGTATTATTTAGTAATTATTATTATTTAGTAGTCTAAAACGTATTAACTATGTTAACATTTAGCAGTGGGTGAGAAAGATTAAAGCAATAAATAATACGTGTGTTTTCGTTAAATTGAATATTGTTATTAACAAAACAGACGTTACCACTTAGAGTAAATTAATACTGAGTAGATAGTTAAAAGAACAAAACCATTTACAACTGCATTTCATTGACATATGCATAAAAAAGTGGGTTCAACATAAGCATATGCAGCTGGAAACATATAATACACTAACCGAATGTGCAAGAACATAGTTGAGTGATATCATCATTGCCATGGAAATATGTTATAAGAATTTTGATAAAATATAGATCGCAGCTAAGAAGATAAAACATAGCACATAAAAACCTACCTTCTGTAGATGAATGACCAAATGTTGTACTGGTGATTGCTAATGTCTGTGTTGAGGAGGTTGTAATGATGGGCGTGGATGTTTGCTTCTGAAAAGGCGTGATTGTGGTCGCCATCTCTTCTTCTTCATCATCACAGGGTGGAAACTGACCCCCAGTGTCTATAATATCACCATACTTATATTCGTCTAAAGTATATGTCGTTTGACCTTTATCTGAATGTATTTTAACATTTAAAGGTGGCACCAGATTACTTGATCCAGAAGGTGGGTCAAACAAATTGTTGCTCGATCTCACAAATGTTACCCATGTACCGCTGACTTCTGCTTCAACTGATGTCACAGGATACCGATGATCAAGAATCAATATTCTAAACGAGCCACCACTAGACACAAGCTGGATAGAAAATGTAAATATTAACATCATTACCAATTATATGCCAATTAGAAATGCCATTTATAGTAATGTATTCTATTTTCCATATATATCTAATAATGGGTATATTTGTTATTAATATTTCTGGCAAAGCAACATTTCCACGTACACTGCTGTCTCTCCTGGAAAGTTTCGCTAATTACACATTCAAGTGTAAACCAACCTGCTTGTTTTGAAGGCTGGGCAAATCACACTTGATTATACAGTCTGTAAAGGTAATTGATTCCCCTCCCCCCAGGAACAAACAGCTAATCTCTGTGGCATTGCTCAGGAAGGTGTCATAAAATGAACTAATCAAAACATTTTGAAAAACGAACATAAAAATTGATCAATGAAATCAATTCCATCTAATTACTCGAATAATAGATTTGTATAGTGATATTAGAACTTACCTTCAGTTTTATATTCGTTTCATCAGGACATGCCACAGTTAAATAAGTCACATTGGCAGAATCACTGCCATCATCTACTAATAAACCAAATGCTTCTGGTCTCAGTACAATGTCGTCATTGCTTGTGCGGCAATTACTCATGTGACAGTTATCCGCCACTCTAACGGTGACAGATGCACCGTTAGGACCAGTCACCCTAATGCATTGACCACAATACTGAAAATAATAAGATTATTACCTTAATAAAAGTAGACTTTTCAAAACGTTATAAACAATGTTCCCAATAGAAAAAGTAGTGTATAATATTATTCAGTCACGGAAGAATTTCTAACTAGTTTTAGTTAGCATATCTAGTTGCAAATGATTTCTCTGCAAGCCTTGGACCACCAACTTAAGACTAATGTTCACTCACAGCTGCGCTATTCAGGACTGCCATGCCTGCTATATAATCTTGATCTGTATAATAATCAGCAAATGAACACTCATTAAATCCCTGTAAATCTGACGACTCTGCAATAGCAGTGACATGTGTTCCATCTAATACACAGCTTGGTTGATCTGTGGATGAAAATAATTAGAATTATTATACTAATTATTAAGGGTATCCAACATAATTATGTATTAGTGCAGTGCGGTGCAGGTTAAATTTCACCCACTCAGTATGTAACATTATGCTATTCGTTTTAAAGGAATTTATTAATGAAAGTTGCATTGTTAGATCATGATCTTACCTGGAGTTCTTCCATGTGAGTATTAAAACACCAATAATTCAAAACACGTCTGCATTCACAACATTAAAAAGATCCCCAGAACTACTGTACAGTCTTTGCAACAATTTTCCAACGAATTGTATTGCAAGAAGATAATTCACAGTCGGTTCATCAAAATTAATAATAGAATGGATAAATAAGGTTACAATGACCAACACAACTCATTGGTTATCTATGAAATTGATTAGCTTTATTCACGTATGCATTAATCTCACTGGATATGTACGATTACAACAAGTTGCTTGAGGTTGTGATACGATGATATTTTTTGAATAATTCAACATTGTAACAGGAAAAAAAGTAATTCTGTAATTAGATATATCTATGTCGTTGTCATCGTCGCTAGCGAATGTCAATTCATTCATCCATTGCCTCACCATTATATCTTGGGAAAATCCCCACTTTGTTTCCATGGGAAATCGAATACAAAGTCCTGTGTTTTTGTCAGGGTGGTTGTTACAGAAACGCTATTTGATGGATCCAGCTTCTTAGCGCGGCAAATCAAATTCAAGTGACCAAGGTATATATGATAATCTGCAAAGGATTCCCTCATACCAATAGTAGTTTGTTACTTATGTTTTCAAAACTGTATGCCAAGCAAAGTTACATATGTATGTACAAACGCGCTGTGTTCAGAGATATTGTAATCAAAGTAATTATGCTAAATAGTAGCTGTGTTTGAAATACAGCCCACTACGTGCAATATATGTTATATATTAGCTGGGTTTGGACCACTATACGACAGGTTAGATTTATCCTACATAAGTGAAATGTTACTCAAAGCTTAATTTATTACTTACAGAAGCAATTCTATGCCAAGAAAAACATACATACACGATCATTTACAAATTGCAACATTTAGTCCTTCGGAACTTCTGAACTGACAATTTGTTATTTGCGATGTGATCAATGATGATTGAATCGTGGTCACTGGCTGGATCACGATTGACCACAATGAAACATGACATACTAGTGAATGTGAAGCACAAGCATTAGTATATACAGTTTTGTGGGAAAGATTCAGATGATAATGCTTTAACATAATCAAAAAAAATAAAAGGTGGTTTAGGTTTTACCTGTACTTGTTTTCGTTGTAGCTCTAGCTGATGTAGATGTTCTTGTTGATGATGCTTCTTCTTCTGTTATTATTGTTGTTGCTGCTGTTGTTGTTGTTGTTGTTGATGATGCTTCTTCTTCTGTTGTTGGCGGTGTTGTTGTTGTTGTTGTTGTTGCCACTGGTGCAGTTGTTGTTGTTGTTGTTGATGATGCTTCTTCTTCTGTTGTTGTTGCTGTTGTTGTTGTTGTTGTTGATTCCGCTTCTTTCGTTGTTGTTGGAATTGTTGGGATAACTGTAACTTCTCGTCCTTCGCAAATTAATGAAAGGTAATGAGTCGGAGTGAATCCAAAGTCGCAAGTGTATGAAACAGTGGATCCTACTGAGAAATCATCTCCAAGGCGTTGCCCATTTTGTACCATACCAGGATCATCACATACACCTGAAAAAGTTAATGCAGTATTAAATTTATTTCTCATGTTCACTTAAACGAACATTATTCTCTTTTAATGAATTTGTAATGTACTGTGAAGATGAGAATATATGTGTGTTTACCAATAATTGTGCATTGCGCTGGTATGCCACTCCAACTACCATCTTCCATACAGGTTCTTTCGTCATCACCCAAAGGTCCATAACCATCATCACATGTAAGTGTTGCAATGCTTCCATACTGTGAACCATTGCTGTACGACCATGAACCATCAGTAACCAACGTCACATTACCACAGTCAACAGCTAAAGAATAATTGTGAGTAAAATAATATAGTATATTCCCAGTGAGTATTTATATGGCACATCACTCTGAAAAGGGAGAAGAACGTATAGTTGAACTGTCATTTAAATGAAAAGTAAATGATCATGTTATGACTCACCAATACATGTTGGTGGGTATGAGCTCCATTTATATTCCGAACCATCTTTTATACACATTCTTACTGTAGGTCCATATATGTTATATCCACTGTCGCATGAATACGATGATCTGCTAAAATACCCATAAGCTGGGTCGCTGACCTGTACCATGCCATTGGCGATGTCCTCTGGTTTACCACATGACACAGCTGAAAAAAGTAAATCCTGACTGTTTTATCAGCTGGTAGGGGTGCATATCGCTAGTATTCACTTTATGGGTACGATTAAGATAAGAATGACTCCTGAGAAACGTCTGTTTAGAACCTTACCTTCGCAGGTTGGCAAATTATAATCATACTCGCCATCTGATTGACACGTAAGAATATTCTGCCCATTGAGTTGATAGCCAGGGTTGCATATGACAGTCAGTGTGACATTCAACTCGATAAGAAGTAAACCCGCAATAGAGTATACCGTACGAGTACGTGGGATGACGACGGCATCATTGATATTTGGTAGTATGCATGTCAACGCTGTCAAAACAGAAAGAGTTAACAGTTAAAACTATACATCATGATGGCAAATCGAATCGAAAGTAATTCAGAAATATCTGATGGAGTATTTGGTATGATAGAGCAACAGGTTATATATAACAAAAAGACAAATTGGAGTACTTATCGATGGTGGTGAAAATGGTTGGATTATTATTATTGAAAAAAAAACACAATTGTCGCCATACTTACGGACACAGCTCTTGTTGAAGACGTACATATCACCGATGGACAGCCCGCTCTCACCAGGAGGGATGTAGAACCCACTAGTGCCATCAGTTGTAAAGAGTATGTATCCATTAAAACAGTCACACGTGTAGCCTCCATCGATGTTATTACATTCACTATAGATATTACACGCATTTAAATCGTCATCAGCACATTCGTTAATATCTAGAAAAAAATAATTTGTTTTTATTATTATATATATATATCGATACAACTTACCAATCACGGATCATTCTCATATAGGCTCGAGCAGACCATGGAAGTCTTGACAGTGTGGAAGACCATGGAAGTGTTTCATTATGGCATCGGACAGGAGCAATTTTTACTCACCACTACACGAGTCTCCTGACTCGTCAACTTCAAAGCCGTTAACACAGAGACATTCATATCCGCCATTTGTATTCTGGCAAATTTGATTCAATCCACAACTATCCGTATCTGTCTCGCATTCGTTGATGTCTAGAAAAATATATTATAAAATTACGGCACACGTTGAAACACTGTTATAAGTACAACAAATTCAAGTGATATTCTCAAAGTGAAGTTCTCAGAAGGTAAAGTTATATGAATACATAAAGTCTCGGGCTAAATAAATAAGCGACTATCGTCCTTTCAATTTCGCACAAATGAAGAACTCTTCAAGAAAACCTGATATCAAAGAAAAAACATCATATTTTACTCGAGTGATGGCGCCTTATTTGTGCCCACAGTCCGACTGGTTTTTGTATATCATTATGATTGTATTTTGTCTTCCAAACTCCAATATCAACAATGTTGCATGAACTTCCGTTACCAAATGTAAGATAAGATTATACACATTCAGGGCCAATGGAACATAATAATACTTTATCGCCTGATAATGTATTCAGATGAAATAATGAAATATGCAAATAAGGGCAATGGTATACCTGTGCATGTTGGCGGAGAATCGCTCCATTGTGTATCATCGTTACATGTAATATAGGTAGGTCCGTCTATTTGATAACCAGACTGGCAGATGAATGTTATATTATCACCAGCGTAGTAAGGACCAATATCAGGAGTGGCATCCATGTTGAGATCTGTTATGACCAATTCTGAACAATTTATACCTGAAAATAAAACAATTATAATTAAATAATGCAGAAAAATAATCAAATTAAAAAGTTTTGAAAAGTTCAGATATGTTTAATATTTCATCACTTACGTTGACAATCCCCTGGATCTGCCGTCCATTCTCCGTCTGACCCACAAATCGAAGATGTGAAACCAATAACATTGTATCCGTCGGGGCATTCAAAGGAAATAGTTACACCGTAGATTAGATCGTCCCCACCGCCAACAACTACATATGTCATCGGATCTGGCATACTTGGCCCAGGGCACACGACAGCTGCACAAATATAAGTTTGCATTGAAAAAATCGTCAATGTTGTGTCAAATTCCACGCCACAATATAATATCTTTATAATTTCATGTTTAAAATTACTATTTTCTTGTCCCATGTTGTGTCCCGTACGTCGTCTATACTATCATAATATAATGTGTACTAACGCAGAAACGACAATTTGACAGGGTACTCACGTTCACATGAAGGAATTTCGGGTCCCCACGTTCCATTAGCTTGGCATACCATGGACATTGCACTGCTCGAGAACGTGTAGCCCTCAACGCATCGATAACTGACCACGCCCTGGTAGGCAATGCTGGATACATTATAGAAGAAAGCGTTTGTAGCATCTGGTGGGATGCCGCATCGCACACCTGCAATTAAAATGAGGAGATCCCTGCGTATTAACACGATGATATGTACAGAGTTGGGATGGAATACATGCCATTATGTTATTTCAGCCAAGATATAGTCACCATATAGTGTATTGAAGATTGCTTTAGATTTAAGCGTCTGAACAGACACGACATATTTTTTTTATACTTCAGATAAAAGTACTTTCAATTGTATACTCACGTGAACAAGACGGGTATTTTGAATTGTCTCCCTCATTCCATTCTCCGCCGTATTCACAGGTCAGGCTGTCGACGGTGCGACTTGGCTTTGTGAACCCTGGGAGACAACTGTACTGAACAACTGTACCATAACCTCTCTCATTTGTACTGGCAATAACTCCGTCGCCAATGTCTATTGCAGGACAGTCTGGAGAAGATTGCATTAGAATGATCAGAACAAGATGACTACAGTAAATCACGAATAAATGAAGTCATTGTCATTGTTTAAATGTGTCCAGATCATATTTGTTTTGTTTCAAGAATGACATGTGTTATACACAAGATTTAGAATTGACACATGTCAAATCGAGTTTTCAACTAATGCCACATGATTGGAATCTGGCGTTGAAAAAGAAAGCTATCGTTTGGTTCTTTCTTTGTACCAATAAAACTCTTGTCCCATTATCCGATCAGAAGGTCTTTGTGAACCAAGCTCTAAAGCTTAATCAGTCGCAACTATCTTGGCATATGACCGGGTATATAGCCTGGTAAGAATAGGTAAAGTATAGCGTCATTATACTTCGAATGTTTGAACATTTATAGGACAATACTGCACAACAATCGGTAATATCTCTGTTGTCCATACCAAATAATAAAAATAATAGTATATATAATATATTCTTTGTCAATCATATCTATCTGGACTAGACAACACCGTCATGTCCAGATCAATTCTACTTACCCGGAGAGAACCTTGCTCTAAATCCCATTGCATTCCTCTGTTGACTACTAGTGAAAACAACATAGAACATTCCATTTTCTGAACGTGAATTAGGGGGTGGAAGAGTACCGTCTGTAACTGTTCCTGAATTACCGCTCCATGGACCTGTCAGTATGTCACCGCTATCATCAATCCCATCATACACCTGTGTTAGAGAAATATTAAAACACATCATCATATCAAAACTCATCAGGATCGTCATCAACATCATCTTTGTACTCAATGTGTTTATCATCACCTATCGTTTAAAGCGCGGTAGTCGTCGCACTGCGCATGTACGAGATATATGGGTCTCATATAAACAAAGATGGCGACTTTGACTGTTGCGCAGATCAACGAGTACGAAGTGAGACGTTTCCAAGCTTTAATTAGACAATTTTCATGTGATTGGAAGGTATCGAAGAAATCACCGTCGGTAATCAGTGCAAGTCGCGCCCAGGTCAAACCTCATACTCGTGATTTCCACTTGAAGAACGCATTGGATTGTGGGAAAATCAATGTTTATCAACACAAATAAGCTGGCACTACTGGTGCTCGTTTATTCTTACCGCAATCTGACATAGTCAAGCCCGTCATTCGTTTGTTTGTTTGTTAATCGTGCGTATGTGTGTTCGTTTGTTTGTTTTGTTGTTGTCTCGAATTTATAGGTATGGTTTGGGCATGATCTATTTTTTACTACTGTCATTCAAAATCCAAAATAATATGAGCCGAGTCACACAATGACTAACTTTAAACAAAACTATAAAAAATAGCTTACCGTTACAAAATCTGCATCCGTATTCAACTCAAGTTCAAATGCATCATCAAATATCAATGTTAATGGTTTGCCACTTGGCTCCTCAATGGCCCAGGTACACATTATTTCACCGGGATAATCATTTACTCCGTAACCAGGAGTGCTTATGTAACCATGTGACCGTACAATTTCAATTCCTTGACAGCCTGTAATGTTTTAACAATTGGGATTATGTTGCACTGTTGGTGTATTATGGCGTGATTCACATTTAAATACTTGCAATTTGCAACTAATCCATTTCACGTGTAACCGATCGTTCTGTGTTATTTCTTTCTTTTCGTGACACGATACTCACATAATGTGAAACAATACTCTTGCATTAATATAGTGTCAATATACTGGGTTTTTTTCCAGAAAATTTAAAAAATATTGAGATCACGCGTAACTATGCATTGTCATTGAATACTAAACACTTATTGAGCTATTGACTTGTCTCTGCAGAGGGCGACATTCACGACCCAATCTACACTCTCGTACAACGACGGCTATATCAGGATAGGTTTCTCCCATCATATCAAAATTAAGAACTAAAATATCACAACTGAGATCGAGAATCACATAAGCATAACACACACTGACGAATCAGTGCTTTAGTTCTTCTGTCGTCGAACAGAGATTGAGATCTCGTCTTGTCGGTAAACATGGCATACATATAGTCGCACTTACCTGCCCAATACCAAGCATGAAATCCACGCATGGTGACAGTGTCGTCACTTTTAAAGTCCACTCTCATCTGATGTTTGGAGGATATCACAACGTTTGGTAATTCCGAACCAGAAAATAACGCTAATACGTGAGCAGCACCAGCATCTTCACCATCGAACACTGATATCATATCTGTATCTTCTTGTGTCTCAAAGGTGACAAACTATAAATTTAAAATAAGTGAAAACAAAATATGATTTTGTGATATTTACGTGTGCTTACATAACAATATTAAATAATGCGGAAAATTCAACCTACTTGTAATGTTATGACCGTCTGTGCGCTATACGAATCAAGTTGCCAGTTGCAGTCCTCGCTGTTCAGGTAGTTTTTCTCTTCAAAATATTCCGTGCTTGATAGATTTTTTTTATGAACCTCGGCAATGAACTCTCCTCCACACGTAGAAAATACTGGAAGCAACAGAAATGACGTCATTTACGCAAATTATGAAATTATTAAAGATACAATGGTAATAAACATAATTTTCAGTGGACACAAATAATGATTCGGCTGCTAGCATAGCAATATTCGTGTGATGACATACAGGAAATGAGAATTTTTTAGTATTTCATTGAACGAATGATTTTGTCTGTCCCAAAACCAAGATTTTATTTTTACGATAAATCATGGCCAAATATTTTTTTTCACAAAATGCAAAATCAAAACAATTTCTTAAATACGCTAAAAAATAACCAACGTTAGCCAGGATCGAGTTTGCAATACTGTTTGAGTAAGTATGTAAAACTAAGTATTATTAAAACTTTGTTTTATCGATAAATCGTTATATAGCACTCACTGGCTTCCCAGTCCGCTGTAAATCCTGATTTTGTAGTGGTACTATCCGAGTGAAACTTAACAGTCATAGAATTAGTACTAGTGATCACCACCTCATCCGGGGTACCAGTGCCGCTATACGTGGCGAGAACTTTTGAGGCGTCGTATACAGGTCCGTCGATCACTTCGACAATATCGTGGTCTTTCTCAGTTACGAGATCAAGGAACTGAAAGTATAGATAGAAAGACATATACAATGAGATGGGCATACATTACAGCAGTTAACAATATCGGGAAAACACAGTGCAGGTATAGAATACGGAGATATGCCGAGAATATATTCTTCTCATGTCCGCGATCGGGACACGGGGACCGGGAAATAACCTTTCCACCGGACCGCTCATTTTTGCGTGTCTCTATAATAGATTTTTTCTTTTGAATTTGAAAGTGTACTTTCCTTGAAATTCCGCTTTCAGGAGGAGGAAAAATTAATGTAATTTCATATTTCAATATCCCCAGTTGGTGACATGAGAAGGAGTTGGGGATGCTCTGATACTAGTTCTCTAACAAAACTCAAAATGGCAGTTAAACACCATTAGACCATTCTAATCAACTCTGATTTTGACGTCCCTGGTGTGGATGAAAATAATTCGAAAGAATCGCACATAGAGGGCGATACAAAAAAGCTCCCAATAGCGAATCACAATCTCTGAATTTGTCAATAACACTTTACTCTACTCTACTCTACTTGTGGCGAGGATCCTTTTTGCTGTACTGCACAGACATGGGAAACCACGACTTGAGACTCTTTCAAAGATAAGAAACACATTATCTTTTCTGTTTCTTTTTAATTTAATTTGAATTGCAATCGTGTAACCGGTCCAACGGGAAGATAAACCTGATATTTCGCATGTACCTTTATTTTAATCTTTGACGTTGCTGGTCCTTCTATGATCCATACACATTCCTGGAGGATGTCGTAATTGTTGTCAGGGTAACCACTTGTCTGTATAGTACCCGAAGTACCAGTCTGAAAACCACCGCAATCCTCTATAAACAAACAAACAAACAATCGGGATATAGCATTTTAGGCTGTAAATACGATGGTGTTCAACGAAACGTAGATCTTCATGAACAAAATAGAACACAATCGCTCAAATAAATAATTGCGATTGTAGGGTGATGCTACGCCCTCTAGTGGTGTACACAACGTGGTCATTATTAAAGGGAAAAACCTATTTATATTAGAAAGCTGGTCTTAAATCGCACGACAGTGCTCATTGGTATATTATTTATAATGATGGAGCTATTGTTTCATGGCACAATAAAAAACATTATTGTTTGTGTTACAGTTGCGTGTTTTGAGATATATTTTTCAAAAATCGTTATTTTTAGAACCATCCATAGAACAACAATGAATGTTAAGGAAACAATAGAAAATTAGAAACTAGAAGTGTTTTAGCCTATGCACCAGCCTACAATTTGAGATATGGCAAAATATCACTAGGAACCAATGGTAAAAACGCAATTTTTTGCAAAATGAATTCTGGGTATTTTCATTAATGAGTAGGCTTCTATTCGCGCGGAACATTAAAATGTCGTAAAGAAGATTTGCTATCTCAAGTGTGGCTAGTAATCACGATTATTTTACCTGCGCATCCAATCTCATCGGAGAAATCGCCGCCACCACAATCGACCGTCCCATCGCATACCCAATCAGGATTGATACAAGCACCATTTGTACAACGGAATTCTCCTGTAATTTAAAAACAAAAAACAAAAAAAATGTTTTCAAATATATAGATTACAGTTCAAAGTTGAATATATTTTTGAAAGCAACATTTGCTTGGAAATTATTTTCTGTATAAGCAATCTCATTTTTGGTGCGTGTATCGTTTACCTTCTGCGCATGCTCCAATTTCACACACGAAAGGACTCATTTGAATACACGGCGAATGATACCATGGGTAATTATTTTCGTAAAGATGAAGTTCAACGCATGCGCCGTCTTCTTCATTTGGTTGGGTATCACTCCATCGACCGTCGAACACTGTGGCTTTCCTCCCATCAGCGTAGTCATATTCATTACTCCCGGCGGGGTTTGGACCCGTAAATCCTGAAATAAAGAACATAATAAAAGTACGCAAACGACAATTTCTTGCACAAAAACTGTTCCCTCCTTTGTTCCATATATGAATAATT